CCAGAGGAATCGGGTGGAGAGGGAGGTGGGAGGGGGGATCGGGATGGGGAATACATGTAACTCCATGGCTGATTCATGTCAATGTATGACAAAACCCACTGCAATGTTGTGAAGTAATTAGCCTCCAACTAATAAAAATAAATGAAAAAAAAAAAGAAAATTCCAGAAATAAGCAATTAATAATAAATTTAAAATTCTGCACTGCTCTGAATAGCATGATGACATCTCACGCTGTCTTGCTCCATCCTGCCTGGGACATGAATCATCCGTCCCTTTGTCCAGCGTATGCTGCCCAGTAGTCTCCTGGTAGCTGACTTGATTAACAGACCAACTATCTCAGTATCACAGTGTTTAAGTAACCCTTATTTGATAATGGCCCCAGAGCACAAGAAATGCTTCCGTTAAGTGAAAAGGTAAAAGTTTTAGACTTAATAAGGAAAAGAAAAAAATCCTTTGCTGGGGTTGCTAAGATCTACAGTAAGACTGAAACCTCTATGTGTGAAATTGTGAAAAAGGAAAAAAAATTTGTGCTGCCTTTGCTGTTGCACCTTGAACTGCAAAAGTTACAGCCACAGTATGTGATAAGTTGAAAAAGTATTAAATTTGTTCAATAAGACATTTTGAGAGAGTCCACATTCACATAACTTTTATTATAGTATACTTGTTATAATTGTTTTATTTTATTATTAGCTATTGTTAATCTCTTACTGTGCCTAATTTATAAATTAAACTTTATCAGCCCTTCTAGGCATTAAACTTTAAAAGCCCTTCTAGGCTTTTCTGGATGGCCCAAGAACTGACATGAGATAGATTAGCAGGAGAAAATCAAATAAAGTTTAATAACGTGTATACATGAGAGAGACCCAGGAAACTTCAGTAACTTTCCAGAATGGCTGAAACCCTTACCTTAAAAACCATCTTCAGCTAAAGACTAAAGAGGATATTGGGGGTAGTGGTTTGGGACTTCAGCTGGGAGGAAGGCAATTCACATGAAGAGAAAAAGTCCTCTATCTTAATTCTTTTAGGCAGGTAGGACAAATGGTCTTCTTGAGTCCTCTGGAAATTGATTGTTTTCTGTTTGAATTAATCCATGTGTTGCAGGAAGGGGGGACCCCTTTCAGGGCTGGAAAAGGGCCTCTTGTCTAATACTCAGAAATGAATTGTCCGAGGAGGCACACGTGCTGACAAAGCAAAAGGCGTTATTGGGAAGGGGCCCCCTGGGCGGAGAGCAGGAGGGTGAGGGAGCCCAGAACTGCTCTGCCACGTGGCTCGCAGTCTCCGGGTTTATGGTGATGGGGTTAGTTTCCGGGTTGCCTCTGGCCAATCTTTCTGACTCGGGGTGCTTCCTGGCGGCGCATGCAATGCTTGACCGAGATGGATGCCAGCGAGGAGGATTCTGGGAGGTGGAAGGACACATGGCATCTCCTTTTGACCTTTCCCAAACTCTTCTGATTGGTGGTGCCTTGTGGTTCCATGTTCCTTCCCAGGGCCTCCTGTTGTAAAAATCACTCACACAAATGGTTATATGGTGCCTGGCCAGGGTGGGCGGTTTCAGTTAGTGTGTTTCCCCTAACTCGTGTGCCAAAGAGACATTTTGGGGTGACAAATTGTGCTGCCCTGATATGTATAGGGAAGATTGTATATTTAAGGTTCTATGCTATCCTCAGTTTCAGTATCCACTGGGGTCTGGGAAACTGTCCCTGTGGATAAGGGGGAACTACTGTAGTTTAAATACTCCCTTATTCAGTGACTTCCCTGATGGTCCAGTGGGTAAGACTCTGCACTTCCACTGTACTGGGCTCGGGTTTGATCCTTGATCAAGGAACTAAGTTCTCACATGCCATGCAGCCGATCAATTAATAAATACCATCTTCTGGAAGCCTTCCCTTCCTTACCCTCCTTCCTTTGTTAATGAAAAGATGCTTCCTGCCATAACAATAAACAAAGAATGTTGCAGCCATCAATTTGTCACATTACAGCTGCCCTTTGGTCAACTCTGAGAGAAAACCAAACAAAGACACT